ACTATTTGTGCAAGACAATGACTGAAAAGGCATGGATAGAAAATGAGACTTTTTGGAAGGCAGCAAGTTAGATTGGTGTTTTTATACTATTAAGTAACCACAAAGTAGCTGATCTATGACCAGAAGTTTGCCCTGACTTTTTAAAGGTGCATGAAGGCATGGTAAAAATGCACACTTTATCTCAAGTATCTTTCCCCAACAGCACTGCTTTTCTACTTCTAGTGACAGTTAAATTGTACTTTAATTTCTCATTTATCTTGTAGAAAATTTCTCTTTGTCAGTAATGGATAACTCCTATGATTACTTAGGGGGGGAAAAAAAAGAAATTTCAACAAACCCATACTTTAAAAAAAAAAAAACCCTTCCATGTAAGCGATACAGCAGTATATTAATAACCAAGACTCTAAATTGACAACAAATTTAATTATTATTTTATTCACTGATATGCTGAACAGCTGTTGCCTATTAGCAATCTATTAGAATTTTACCAGAAATATTTCACAGATATTGTACACGGCAAAACCCAATTAGTTTTGCATGTTGATATTGCAAGGTAGTATGAGAGGCTGTAATGAGATCATAGAAAAGTATGATAACCTTTAGATGATAAACATATCAATAATTAAGACTATCAATTAAAAAGTTATAAGATAGTCTCTCTTAAATTTGGGGGGACTTGCACATCATGGTTATTTTATGCATTAGTGTAAAGTAACCAGGTGTACAATGCAGTTTGGCTGCAAAGCAGGTGTGCTGTGGAATGTCACCTGATCCAGTTCTTACCTTTTCGCAGGTAATACTGCCTCAAAGGGCATGAACTGTAATTATGCTAAAACCTCAACCCCAAAGGCTGAAGGCTATCATAAGCTTCCCAAAGTACTGTACTGCAAGAATAGAGAAACAACATGATCTACTGATTACAAGAATGTCAGGTGGCTCTACTGTATAACCTTCTCATTTGTCTTTCTGTTACCTTCTCAACCTATGTGAATATCTACTTCTATCTAATACTATGTCCATATAAGCCACAAGCTTGATATTACCCCAGTCAATGAAGCTATTCCGTCCTCCTAAACATTTCTGGACTCTATGACTGAGACAATTATGAGAACTGGGAAAATACTTACAGCACTTGAACCATGCAAGTGCTCACTTGCTTGCACAATTTTCAGAGGACAGCAATAGATACTTTCTCAGCTCTCTGCTAGGTTCCAGATGGGAATCTGACTTGACCATATTGTATGAAGCTAGTTAATTAGCATTTATTTGTTGTAGTATGAATCAGTGTACTCAAGATTAAATTTATTGTATTTTCCACTGGGGGCTTGCTCTTTAAGTATTATGTTTCCCAGTGGTTATATTATTTGTATACTGACTTGTTAGCGTGTATATGTGTCTATCTTACACTGATTTATCAGACAGGTATGGCAAATGTAATTTAATAAATGCAGTAATATAAATTTAGTACCACGGTCTACATAATGTATAATTATCTACATAATCTACATAATCTACATAATGCCATTACCACAAACCAACCATTATTCATAATTATATAAAAATATTATTGTTATTTATTTTAATGTTTACGGACCAGCATAAGTAATAAAATGATAGACTTTAAAGGGGGCAGTAAGGTAGTCAAATTGTCAAAGTCAACCCCTAATCCCTGCAAGGGTCTAAATTATAGTATTAATGGGAGATGATATCCAATGAAGGTAGCTGGTTCCACTATTGAATTGCTCCTGTTATTAAGAAGGTTTTCCTAACCTATTGGGAAGAATCTGCTTTCCAGTAACTTTCATTCATGGTTGTATATTCTGAACTCTGAGATGAAAAAAGATCACACTCTTCCGTGTGACATCCCTTTAGTTATAGTGAATAGTGATATTGTACCTATTGTGATTGTACCTATCACTTACCTAGTGATAAGAATATGAAGGAAGCGTAGTTAGCGGCTTTAACTATGCCAGTGAACAACAACTATCTTTCAGCTGCATTTTATACCTTATGCAGTGATACATACACATCACTGCTTGGATTGTCATAACACCCTTTATCCAGGGTTCCTCAACCTCATGCTGGCTGGGGAATTCTGGGAGTTGAAGTCCACTCATCTTAAAGGCTGAGGTTGAGGAACCTGCCTTTATCCATACAGCTGTTACCTCAGTCCAATGCCAGCTAAGAAAAAAGGAATGGGGGCCAAAAGCTGTGCTCCATGCCATGACAATAGCACGTATCATTTTTTTTCTCATTCTGTTTTTTTATCTAAAGTCGCCCTCTCCAAAACTACCACCTTCATGTAAACCACATGGGAAGAATGGAGAGTGTTTATATTTGTGACCAACAGAAGTACATGTGAAAGTTTTCTGAGCGTGGGCTCATGGGATCCTATCAAGGGCATTTCTTCTTTAGTCTCACTGGTGGTTATAAGTATGGAGGATTGTCTGTCGGCAGCCTGATGGAGTTGTGCAACTTCTGTCTTGTTGCCAATAAGCCTATGGGAGGTGGCTGCCAATGACTTTGTAAAACTGCATTTTCAGTTGTGTTGCAATTCAGTTTTGCTTCTTTGGAGGACTGATGAGCAATGCAATGCCACCAATACAGGAAATTACTGGGTTTCTAGAGATGCATGACATAGTCTGATTGGGGAAAACACTTTGACTAACAACTGACCCTTGTTACTGTAGGGTAGGAATTATCACCTCTTGTCCCTGAAATGGGTGAACAGCAGAGTTACAGAACACACTGGATGTAGACATGAACCAGTTAAATATCTTGTGTGAACTCAGCCAATATGCTTATAGTAGGATTTAGATGCAAGAAGAGTTACCTAGATAGACCAAGTTAATGACAGTCAGAAGACCTGCGTTGAGAAGATCTAGATTAATCAGCACCAAGAATAGGGACAGTAATAAATAAAAGTCTCTAGCCAGCATCTGATCCTATATCAGAAGGCTACTGTAATATATATCCCACATGCTGCAATTTCACAACATAAGTGTCAACTTCTTAAGCTTGTACAAACATAGTTCCAACAATGATTCATCTTTTATTTATTGGCATCTAAGCTTAACATGGCTGAAATGATATTGTTCTCTTTTAACAGTGCAATTCTTCAAGGAAATATTTGCTACTATTTATCCTTTGGTTTTTTTCCCATATCACAATCTCTGCACCTTTTAATTTGTTTATCTTGCGGGTCTGACTGAAATGAATACTAAATCTGTTCCATGTTTACTTATATGATATGTCTGAGATTTCATTTCTGGTGACTCCTGTTTACTTTATCAGCTTGCACTGAAAGCAGATAAAACAATATCTAATGCTTTGAAAAATTGCACTTGGCATTTTTTTATTATATGATCTGAATGTATACTCAGGTTATATTTTCTGTGGAAATGTTAGTATCATCTAACAACAATATCTTGTCTGTTTTAAACACAACTGTGTGTTAGGATGAGAAATGTTCAGCAAATCATTTGCTTCAAATGGCAAACACTATGGTAAACTCTAGCTATTCAAGAATTGCCATTTACAATAGTCCAACTCAGAATAGCTCTGAAGCAGTTTCAGTCAATGGGCTACAACTACTCAAATACAAGTTCTTTGTGGAATAAGAGATACAGTCCCGCACTTCATGTAAAGCAACCATGCATAGAGAAAATAGTACCAACCTGATGACTTGATTGCAATGAGCACACATTGGAGTCCGCTTGCCTGCTGGAATATGCTCTGCTCTCTGAACCAAAGTATCTTCATTTGTTAGCGGAAGTGCTGCTGTGGCTTTCTCGCCACGCATGGCACTGTTGTTGGAAATCAATCCACTTCCAGCTGTCATGAATTGAAATGGAAGAAAACTGAACATTGAGCTTGCAAGGAGAAATGTCAGCAATTCAGTGTTTTAGAACATAAATGCAGAATGATTAGAAACAAAATTGTTGATGGAAATAAATATGTGAAGATTAGGGATGTATCCAGTATTCAAATAATTTGCTTCACACAGCACCAATGAGCTTCCTTTGAATATGAAAGCAGTCACCACTTTTGCAAGGCTCACGTGACCATTTTTAAAGCTGTTATTGGTGGTCTCTGCATGTGCATGAATGCCCTTTGTGGACAGAGTTGCTTTCAAAACTGTGCAAACTTTGTGAAAGATACAGAGGTGGAAATAAACTGTAAAGGTGCTTGATTTACATTCTCTCAGGGTAGAAAGCACCTCAAATCCTTTGCACAGAGATAATGTTGATAAACATATTGATCGCAATACAAATTATTCCGTGACAGAATTATAAGGACTAATTGGTCTTATACAATATTGTAAGAACGTTAAAACTTTTAAAAAAATTAATCTGTGCTCAGTAGAATTATTAAATTGATTATGGCTATAACTACTTAATTCTAAATACAAATCAAGCATGGTAATTTTCATCTTTAGCTACAAATTATTTTAAATTAAATTACTAGAATGAGCTATCATAAATATATAGAAATAACAAACATGTAACATATATTTTATATCAAAATTAGAACAATACTTTACATAAATAAATATTCAGTTCAAATACAGTGCCAAAATCTGTGTCATTCACCTGCAGATTTGTGACTAACTTAACTACAGATGACACAGATATCTATGTGATATAGATGATACTCAAAGTCTTCATTGCAATCTAATTCTAGAAACTGCAAACTAATATGAGATTAAATATAATATTAAAAACAATAATATAATCAAATCCAAAAAAGGACATTTAGGAAAAGTTAAAGCAAATGCCCTTGCTATGCTGCATTGCATGACTCAGTAACAAAATATTTGTTAAGTAAATAAATGAGAAATGCTACTTTCTGACACATTGCAAAGACAGGGAAGACAATCAGAAATCCTAAACCACAGAAGACAAAAGTTTTCATGAAGCATATTAAAAGTGCCATAATATTCCTGGCACTACATTAAGTAAATAAAATGAACGCTTTCTTCTGATTAGTAGCCATTAAAGGGTAGTATTGCAGAATATGTGTTTTTTCCTTTATCAAAGAATGGTGAGTTGTGGCATGTTGTGTAATGTTAATTACTAACTAACTAACTAACAATATCAAAAAAATCCCTGCCAACAGAAATCCACATACGAACAAGAAGGAAAGCAGCAGTGTTTTCAAGGGAATCCCAAGATCTGTGGAAGTGCAAAAGAAAAAAAGGGGGGAGCGAGGAATCTAATCTAAGTCAGCCCAAAGAGGATTGGGTCTCCTGAAAACAGAAAGCAAGAATTGGTCAGTTTGAACCTCTTAGAGCTTGATTACTGGGTAAGTGGGAAGGCAAAGACCTGCCTTGGATAAGGTACAGTACAATGACTGGTTGCATATTACAGCGCCTATCAGTTTGATATATTTATAACATTACTCTAAAGGCACCAATGATTTTCGGCTAAAAAAGTACAGCATATTCACTCAAGAATCATTCACTCAAGAATCTGTAGCACACACTGGTCCAATTTAAGGAGCGGGACATGAGGTTTTAAAGGTAGATGCACATCTGCTCAAAGATTAAATTTAATTTTCTCTAGTTTACTGCCAAATAAATGGCAAAGAATTATATTTCAAAATTTCAATCTCAATATACGTACATATGTATTTTTATGGGATTTATCGCTGTCTAGACTACTGATCATAACATAAGAAAAAGAACATAAATAGCACAAAAGTACATTAATACCAATAATTATAACAATAGTTAAAACTAATTTTGGCACTGATAACTCAGTCCCAAAAGGCCTTCTGGAACAGCTAGGTTTTTATCAGTTTCTATAAGGCCAAGAGAGCAGAAGTCATCCTCTCTAGACTTCCACTCTATTGGCCTTTCAAGCAGTTCTATAGAAAGGAGCCCTACAGAACACTCACCATCAGCTCTTTTCCTTGTCATTCCTCCAAATAGATGGGGAACATTAGCAGGTACTAACTGCCTGGATCAGGCAGGCACAGTCTATCTGGGAAAGGTTGTCTTTCTTGGATATTCAGGCCCTGAGCCACATAGAGCTTTAAGTAATAGGGACCTAAACCATGAATTGCACTAGGAAGCAAATTGGTAACCAATGCAGCTCTTGCAGCAATGGTGTAATAGGACAGTACTGATCAGTAAACATTGGGGAAGCATGTTTGGATCAGCTGAAACTTCCAGTGGTCTTCAAGGGCAGTGCTGCATAAAGCAAAATACAGTAATCTAACAGAGGTGACAAGGGAATAAATGTTTTAGTGCATCCTGTTCCAGGTATGGCTACAACTGGTATATCAGATGAAGTTGAGTAAAAGCTCTCATGTAGCTCCTCTTCAGCAGAAGATACCTGTCCATGATGACCCTTCTCTGTGGGACCATAATCTCATCAAGAGACAAAGTTGTAATCCTGGAATAAGAACGTTCTGAACTAACACCTACTCTGTCTTGCTTGGGTTAAGCTGAATCTGTTACTCCTTTTCTAGACCCTGACAGCCTCCAGGCACCAGTCAGAACTTCTATTGCAACTCACATGGACCTATGGAGATCCAGAATAGTATCAGCATATTGATTACACCCTGGATGCTATTTTGTCCGAAACTGGTTTCAGTTGACTTCTCCTGGTTGCTTCATGTAGTTATTAAATTAAACATGTTAGGAAAAAGAGCAATCCCTGAGGCACTCCACAACACAGTGCATTGAAGCCTGATCTCTCCCCACCCCCTGCCACCACTGACTGACTGCCCACTGAGTAGGAGTGGAACCCTTGTAACATGGTTCTTCAAATTTCCAACTCTTGTAGACAGTTCAGAAGGATACTTTCAGCAAAATGAAATGCTGCTGAGAGGTCCAGGAAGATCAGGATAGTGAAATTCCAAGCTCTATCACAGTTATTTCTTAAAGTGACCAATGTGGGTTCTCTCCCATGCCTGGACTTGAGACCAGACTGCCAAGAATCCAAGTTATCCGTATGCTCCAGGGCCCTCTATATTTTATCATTAACATATTGTAACCATTCATTCTTTGGTTCTCTAGATACGTCTCTAGAATCTCAAGTCTAAGGGGTACAAGGAGCAGAAAAAAAGAGAACAGGAAATTTCTCATTTAACATTTAAGACTAAATTTTTGGAATGTAACTGAACTTTCAAAGGGAAAACTAATTTTCTGAATGGAGTTTAGAGTCTAGTTCAACTGCAAAATTGACCTTGGAACTGGAGACGAATTGAATTTATTCAGTTTTTTAAAAACTGCAAATGTTAAGATCTATCCAGTATATTATAGTATTCTAGCCAATCTGCTTTACTTTGTCTTTAAACGCTAGCTCCCATTAAAACAGTTTATCTAGAATTGTTGAATTCTAATAAAAAAAAGGCTTATTAAATAAAGTTCATTTTATCCCCAGCTGGATAGTTGCACAAAGCAACTATGAAAACTTATCCATTAGTAGACAAAGAACTGATCATTTTTTGTCCTTTACAGTAGACTAAAAAGAAATCCAAGTGGGTGAAATGCTGTAAATATGAAGGATAAATTCCACCACAGAGGGTCCTCGCATAAGGATGGTGTACTTTGAAAATAGTACATTTACCCTCGGGAACATCCCAGTCAATTTTTTAAAATCCACACAACATTGCAGCTGAAAAGGAAATTAAAGAACAGGCAACAATGGAACAATCCCTGTGGAATACTCTCCCCCCAGAGGTGAGACAGCCCCTACCCTCCCAGTTCTCCGGAAAGAATTGAAGACCTGGCTCTGCCAACTTGCATGGAGTGAGAAAAGATACAACCAGCCCTGGCGGTGGCTGGCGCTTTGAAGACGTTCCCTGAGTTTGTTAACACCTAATTAACATCAGTCTCTTGGAACTATTATATAGGAATGTTGTTGTGCTGTATTTTAATTAATTAATATTTATTGTATTTTAATTAATATTTATTCTGTTTTTACTGTAATCCACCCAGAGCTGCTCTGCAGTGAGATTGGCAGTGATAAATTTGAAATATAAACAAACAAAGGATCTCAACAAAAAAAGCAGAGTGAAAAACCAGCAATGTCTGGAATGCTGAATTACTGGCAGATAAGCATAGCATACAAGGTGGCTAATTCATGAATATAATACAAGAATATTTCAAAGTAAAGGACATCAGTGGAAGTAGAACTGCTCTGTATGCAAAAGAAGTCCAGGTGCAAACCGTGTCATCTCTACAGAGGTCTGGAAAAATATCTTGTTGGAAACACTACAGAGCTACTGCTAGTCCAAGAAACTAGATAACACTGATTAGGTGTCCTATATCCTTAATTGTGTATTTGCTTTTCAATTTTTCTGATAGGCCCTTGTAGTAAGTAGCATGAACTATATTACCATATCTGAACAGGGGTTCAACACAAGCAGCTTTTCAGCACCTACCTTATCTACTAAACCACCCCCGTTTTGGGTCCTATGGCCTCTCTTTTGCACCTTTTCCTTTAGAAATAATGCCGAAACAGCTTCATTTTCAGCCATAGCATCTTGCATGCTTTTAACTCTGCCTATAGTCAAATTCATTAGTGTATTTATCTACTCATGCTTTGCCAATTCTACTGAAAAGGCAATTTAGTCACACACCTTTTCTGCCTGATTAAATTTCAAGGTCTGACAAACTGTTGAAGTTAAGAGATAAGACTGGCACCTTCTGAAATGTTTCTAGCCCCTAAAGTGACAACAATCTATGCTTTTTTCCTTTCGCTAAAGTGTGATAAACACCTGTAGATATTTATGATGCATTATCAGGATAACCCTCACTCACCAAATAAATAACGGCAATAAAGGAAATAGGAATGGTTTCCAGAGAAATGGGTACAATAAAT